TGCCACGTGAGCATCACTGGGTGACCAGGCCCATGACCCACCAGCTGGCTGTGCTGGGTACGCCAATCAGCGATGGTGGGTTTTCACATGGGGGAAGAGAAGGCACTTGAGAAGTCTATGCTGCTGTTGAAGATACAGGATGCTCTAACTGCTTTTCTTAATTATGAAATCTTCAGACACTAGAGTCAGGTGTCAGGAATACCTGTGCAATGTAGATATGAGTGGGAAGGGAGAAGGATGGTTTGATGGCCAAAAAGGTGGTGCTTTCACTCCTGAAAAGCACTAACAGCCTCCTGCCCAGCACATCAAGTGAGCACAGGGGTTCCTATTGAATTTCCTGGTCTCAGCTCAAGTCCCTCAGTCCCTGAAAGTATGTCTTCAGTTGAGTCAAATGAATTCTAGTCATAATGTTTTCAGCCAGCTCTGAGTGTCTTCTGAGCAGTGCCACCTTGCAAACTGCTACAAATTGCAAACAAAAGCACTTGGCCATCTGTGCTTATTGAAACAGCACCCCTGACTGGCCCTTCTCTGTATTTGATCCCCCATTAATTTCAGTGTGAAAGAGGTACGGAGAGACACATTCACCTTTAGAAACATCTTCTCTCCTTTACTTCGGTCTCCCAGCAAGGCAGGCTTGCTCATCCAACAGAAATGTTCTATCTCTCTGTCAATGGACGTATTCACAGTGAGGTAGACAAAATACAGTGGGAAGTACAAGTGAGCATTTATAGTAGATTTTTACCTAGAAACACACCTTCAGGTTGATGATGTTGTTCATCTTGCTTTTAGAGGGCTTTGAGCCAGGCAGCCGTGTGTAAGAGCTAAGTATTGCTACTGTCTCACTGCTTTGCTGCTCTCTGTTTGGAGCAAACCATCTCTTATCTTCTCTGTAGCTATTTACCCATGTGCTGAGGATCACTACTGAGGTACCTGCTCAGGGTATACCTGCTTAACTCATAATCTGTAGAGCCCTTGCTCAGCTGCAATGATTGACATCAGCTAACTTCAGCAGGGGTCTCCCAGTGGTATTCCCTGAGACTCCCTTTAAAACGTTTTGGATCTTTTTTGTCTTCTTCCTCAGTGTGCTGGCGACAAATGTTTTCAAAGAGTCTTTATTTTTGTGTGGATGTTCCCTGTTCATTTATTCCGGAGGGATAAGTTGGCCCTGATTGCTTTACTGTATAAACATTACTTTTCTATAGTACCTTCTGGTTTTCTTTGGCCATTTATTGACACTGGATAATATAACATGAAAGGAGTGTGCATGGGCTTTTACTGAAGAAATCTGCTAAATAGCTATTAGAGGATTAAAAGCAATCCCATGGCCAGGATTACACATCTTTAAAATGCTGATAATATCAAGCAGCAAATGGATTTGTAATTTAATGGCAGATGAGGGAAGACTTCAGATGTATGTTTTTGCACATTTGATAGAAAGATTAAAGTGTCTGCATTTTGTGTGCAGGAGTTTGATAAAGCTGTAGCACAGTTGCCTAGGGATATCAGTGTTCTTCTTTCTTGTAAATAGTAATTGCACCACATGGAGACAATTCTTCTGGTCAACATTTTTATTAAAACTTTAATTCTCAGGGTGACAAGCTGGATCATTGTCTGCTTTCAAAGTCTGATAATCATACACTTTGGAAGCTTTGAAGAAAACCTTTGTCTAGACAGAAATAGCTTAAGAAAGCTTTTGAAATGTAGCATTCACTTGAAATCTTTGTTGATGCATGTAGGAAACACTGATCCATATTTGGGAAATCTTTAGTTGTTTTCTACTTTCTTGTGCTAAAACTGTGCAAGAGGTTTGTATGACAGCAGGAACTGTCAGAAACAAAACGTAGAACATTCTCTCCTATGAGTGGTTCAACCTGTGACAGGCTTTTCCCATGGAAAGAATTTCCTTTACATCCAGAAATTAATTTTGCTTTAAAATAGAATTAATCTACATATGACATTCTAGCTCTCAAATCTTCAGCACTGAGGCTGGATCAGGATGCACTTTAAGAAAACCTTCAGACATGTTAAAGAGAGGGAACTGTACAATCTTAAAAAAAAAAAAAAAGGAGAAATCTACAGTTTCTTTAAAATTTAGATTTTTAACTAGTCTTCTTGACTTGAGTCACGGAAGTCTTTTCCAGAATGTTATTTCACAAAATCCAGGTTTGGTTCCAACTGCAGAATATTAAGACTGAACAACAAATAAAAGAGAACCATCTGAAAGTGCACCAGATCAGCCTGCATCTCCCATGGGAAGGGGTGTGTGACAGCAGTGACAGCAGTGACAGGCCCAGGGCACCACAGAGGGGACGGTCCCCACTCAGTTACACTCCCTTGAGCCACATCCCATGCAAAATGAGGCTGAAAGGTGGCGGAGCCACCTGACCTGGCGGTCAGCTCCTGACCTGGCTGGCCGCGGAGCAGGCAGCGCACGCTCCCCTCTCTCTGGGATGTGGAAATCAGAGTACGGCTCTCGGATACCTCTGTAGGGGCCAAACGTCTGCGATAACCATCCGACCTAAACATTTCTGCGGGGTGTTATCTGATGCCTTCTGCCCCCAAAGTAACAGACCTTATGGTCATTTTCATTTTAGAGGCTCGGTTTGATTTGGCTAATTTATTGTCATTATATGTATATTCACTGCTTTTCGTCTTCAGAGAGCTTTACAAACAACACTGTCTCACAGAATTCATCTGTGGTGCTCTGAGGGAATGTGCATTTTTCATAGATAACAGGGATTTATTCTCTGCTTTGTGGGAGAAAGGCAATTCAGTCTTACTGATAGAGTTATCACTAGCATTACCATATTTCCAAAAACCTAAAATCTGAGGCAGAGAGACGTTGAATCTCCTGTCAGAGACCAAAAAAGGAAGAAGAAAAGCCAAACAGGAATTAGACGTTCAGGCCACTACCTTACCCTCCTCCCCTTTCTTTCAATACAAACATTTATGCACCCCAAAATAAGTGCTTCAGCTCTGGATCCTTAAAGAGAATTGTCCAGAAAACTGGACATATACTCTTTGGGTCTTGGAAACAGATCACACAAAAGTAACAGCCCTTATAGAAACAAAATTGTCATTATAAATGAACCTGGCTACTGCATAAAGAATAAAGAATGAAGCTTGTGACTTGCATTGACATTTCTAACAGCGATGCTTTCATATGGTCCAGCTGAGTGAATAATTTGTAGTAAGCCATTTGGATAACTCGTTTAGAAGCTTTCCATTTGTGAATTGTGTGATTTGCCTAAATGTATTTGCTTTTCAACAATATTGGTTGAAAATTTTGAAAAAAAAAATGGGTTCAGAGCCTCAGCAACAGTTAGGTGGAAACTTTTGCTGCACAAGCTTGAAGGTAGGCAGTTAATAGCTCAAACTGTACAATCAGATGTTTCAGAGTATGCTAGAAATCAGCAGAGCAGTATTTTTATAGCTAATAATTTTGATAGGATTTCTTCCTGCTCCCTTATCTAGACTTAAAAACTCTTACAAGTTTCATAGTTAGCAGTTCATATTGGCTTCCTGACCATTTTCTTTACTCTTTCCTGAAAACTCATTACTCTTGCAAACACTGCTGCCTCGTTCATTATTATCAATAGAAAGTGAAAAAAACCACAGCCAGGATTAACTCCATGTTTTATTTACATGAAATTCATGGACATGTTTTGAGGTATTTGATCAGTATTTGTTCATATTTATACATAAGTATTATTTCAGGTTTTCAGTCAGTATATCATGGCAAGAAGAAAAAAAAGCTATGAAAGCATTTCTCCAACATGAGGCCAAAAAAGAAGTTTGAAAGATAAGTGTATGGGAAAAGAGGGTTTTACCCCTTATTCAGAATGGCAAATACTTAAATATAAGCAGAGAGTAAAATGTTTGGTTAAATCTGACCTTAGAGAAAAGGAAGATTTTTGAGAAATTTGGAGAAAAAAACTGCATCTCATTTTAAGTAGACATGGCACAAATTAACAGTATTTTGTAGATTTTGAAATATTAATCTTAAGAGGTGTAGTCTTCTAAAAAATAATACAATATTCTAAAAAAAAGGAGAAATGCCTACATTTTCATGCAGATGTAAACTGATACATTTAATGTTTCCCTTTTTGTACACACCAGTACCTAACCACTACAGAAACATATTTCTAAGTGTATAAACCCTGACCTGTCAAAAAGCCACAATCAATAATATTTTGTCTGCAAACTCCGTTTTCACAGAAGAAAGAAAAAGGCTGGAAACATTTATTCAGTACCCTTAGTGGAACTTTGCTTTTCTAGGTGCAGTTTTACAAAACTCTGTTTGCCGCTTTCTTGTAGTGATTAGAGTGAAAGTTTCAGACTTTCTTTTCTTGAAAAGACTCCTTCAAATAATCACCGTATAGCTCAGTTTCCAAAGTATGAGTTGTTTCTTTCACTTTAGAAGATGCTACAAAAGAAATCCATTGACAAATATAGGCTTGTTTATAAGAAAAAAAATATTTTTTGGAAATAGAAGCGTTTCTGTGAGTTTTCCAAAAATTTTGGGGAAAGACATCTTATCTAAATCTTACCTTTCCCAGTCCAATCGGTTGTAACTCAGTGCATCTCGGGTTGACAGTCAGGAAAAATCAACAGTAAAGGTTACAGGAGGGAGCAGGAGAGAAGGGAGGAGGATTTCCTGAAATTGGTTTATCTGTTTTTGTTGTCTCACCAAGTGAAAGGCAAAAGAAAATAAACAGAATGAAAGCTGAGTGGTAAAAATTGCTTCGGGTTTTTACGGTCTAAAGAAAGTTTAGTAATACAGCTGAAGCAAATGGAGAGAAATCTGCTTGCTTACAAAGCGTCCTTAGGTTTCGTGCAGACAAAATTAGAAGCCCCTTGACAGACTGAAAATACCTGTATTTTTTCCTAGCTGTTTTCCTTTTTCCTGGCATTCATTTTAACCTGTAGCAAAATCTCCAAGGTTTTAGATTTGGTTTTCAGTCGATCTTGAAGGCTTCTGTTTACGGAGAGGATGTTTCTTAGCTGCCCGGCTCCTCAAATTCACTGTAGGGGGATGACGCTGAAGAGGTTTTAGACTCCCCATCACTGTTGCACTCCCTGGGGGGACCAGGACTGGGAGCTTCCATAATCTCCTTGGTAGAGAGCATTTCCTTACCACCAGACCCTAGGGGATGACAGTCCAGCAAGCTCTGCAGGTGTTTGATGTAACTTATGGCAGCTCTCAGGGTCTCCACTTTGCTGAGGCGCTTGTCAGCAAATTCTTTGGGCAGGTGCTCTCTCAGGCGCGTGTAACCCTCGTTCACGCAGCGCACCCGCTGCCTTTCCCTCTCGTTCCTCTTTCGAATGAAGGCAGGCTCAAAGGAGTAGTCATAGACACCCATGCATCCGGGGAATGGGATATAGGAAAGGCGAGCTGTGTGCCCGCTGTAGGCTTGCTGCCAGTAAGGTGGGTCCAGGTGGAAGGGAACCCCAAAGGCCTCCCTGAGGGGCACCCCGTGGGGAGTCCCATGGCTGCTAGTCAGGGACACAGCTCCTGAAAACGCAATCCGGTTCAATAGTCCTTCATCATCTTTATTGCTGTCCATGCTGCTTCTTTATTTCACCAGTGCAATTGTCAGTTCCCAAATTTGGCTTCCAAATCTTGTATCAAGCCAAGCAAAGAAGAAACATTTGTACAGGTACTCTGCCCCGCAGGCTGCAACTTCCTCCCGTGGTATATAACTATTCAGATCTTCAAGTGCAGCTAATGATTCATGAGGTCCACTCTGTGCCTGAAAATCAGCTTGCAGCCTTGTTGTTTTTATAGATGTAGGATGCCAGCTAATTTATAGATGCATTTTGAGGACCATTACTCCACACTTTAAACCCTGTTTTTCCTCTGATCTTCATATTTCAAAAGGTAGTAAGAGGGTTCCTGTGTATTCCTTTTCTCCCCGCTTGAAATTATGACCATAAGAGTTAATGCCAAACATAAATAATCTTCCAGGCTCTAAACACTTCTCATGTATTGTAATCCACAGTATCGTTTGATATAATTGTCTCCAAAAGACGGGTAATTTGCAAAGTTTACATGGATCTTCAAAGTTTTGGCAGAACTCCTCCTTTTCAGGAACCAAGGATCTTCTGTCATCCGAAAACTACCCAAAGGCTTTTCACAATGAAATCCAAAAGGCAACTGCAAGCTTTGTTGTTTCTGCTGCTCTGGTCTAACTGAAACAGCTCACATGCAGTTTGCAAAACTTATATGGCATCTCTCTAGCTTTCTGGGGAAGCTGAGAAATCATCACAGGAAAGAGTGGTTGCAAGTCATGTCAGATCAAGAATGAATACGTGCAAGCCTAAGAGGAAAACTGCTTTCTTCACCTGAAGAGAGGCTTTTTCAAGAAGCGTGAGTTTCACAAGTTGAAAATGTGCATTTTCAAAAATCTTCAGCATTTTGCCTGTTTCTATTCATTGCAGAGATGTTCTGGTCTTTACTATAAGCACCTGCCCCAAAAAAACAAAGATAACAGTTATGCTCTGATTGCCCCTGGACAGCAGCATAGGTATTTCCAGGTATTTACACAGATACTGGCTTACCAGACAGACCCAGCACACTGCTTTAATTGGAGAGTGGAAAATTCCTCTTGACTGTGCCAGACCTGTGCTATATCCTTCGATTTGTTTGCCAAAGAGAAGAGGTGGACAGAAGACAAGGACGTTTGCCAGTGCAAGGGCAATGTCCCAACCTGTGTTTCTAAGATGTCATGTTGTGTTAGGATCGTCTTCTGCAGCAAGTGGGGTGTATTCGAAGGGCTCCACAGTTATAACATCTTTCCAGAAACACATCTTTGCAGTGAAATAAATCTGCTGTTTTTCCCACCATCAGTTTGGTGAGTTGAACTTTGGTCTGGGAGACCTGTGGGAAGGGAAGAACGTGAAAAGGTACAGGCATGTAGGCTCTACTAAAACTGTTTTTTTGCTCAAAGTGAAAGTTTCCGCCCTGTTTAGTGTCTCGTGACAAACTGTCTCGGAACGGTGAGTAACTGAAACAACATCCTCCACTCTGAGAAACATATGTCTCTGCTGAGTCAGAAACCAGCGGCAATGATGTAAGCGTGCATTTTCAAGCTAGCTTGTGTGTCTTTGCTGGCCTGTTCGGCAGTTTCAAAAGGCAATGATACAAGAACAACCTAGATTTTAATCTTCAAAGTTTGATAAACATACGTGGAGACGGTTCCAGAAAGACGTAAGTGAGAACAATTCTGGACTCTGACTTATGCCAGGGGTAGGATCAGCACCAAAATGGCTGAAAAGCCAGGGCAAGTGTCCATCTACTTTCACCTCATCTAGCAAGAGCTGGTGTTTCAAGTTGAAGGTTTTGTAGCATTACCTGAGAGTCAGCCACTACATTTCATGAGCAGTTGAGACCTTTTTCAGTGACAACTAAATGTCTTTCTAAAATACGTGCCATAGCTCAGATGGAACATAGCAGGTGTGAGGCAGGGAAGAAGGCCACTAGAAAAGGCTCCGTAGTATGTGCAATTCACTTCAGATCAAATGATCAAGAGACTCTTCCTGCCATTAAAAAGCCTGTGAAAACCACTGAACAGCATGGACTTCTCAGCATGACTTGCACTGTAACTTTTGCTGTTAGAAAGGTCTCTAGTAGAAATGTTTTCAGAAACGATTTGTTAGATGAGAATAGCTCATTCACTGAGGTAGTCCAGGATTTAGAAGTCTTCTTAAAGTAAAGAGGATGTTGACCTGTAAGCAAATGCCTGAAGTAGGAAAATGACATTTGACTTGTATCGTTATTTGACTTAAAACACTGTTATCTGTCATAAGTTTCTTTCCCAGTTTCTAGGATTTTTGCAGTGACAGTACTCCTGTACGCAAATGGAAGCATTCCTCTTGGGTGTCTCAGATGCTCGAAGTTTCCAGAGCTCTCTACGATTTTGCCAAAAGTCTAGCCTAGTTCAAAAGGCAGAGTTATGTTTCAGTTTGGTAACACAAACACACTGTTCTTTGCTGCCAGACCTCTTTTCTATGTTTACTGTAAATGCAGGTCACCTGCACCATCAGAATTCCACCTGCGCCAAACAGACACCTGTTTTTCCTACAGAAGAACACATGTTGGTAATTCTTCAGAGAAATACATGAAAAAATATTGCAGGTAAATGTTATTTGTTAATCTGAACGATTGTAAGAATTGATCTCATATCAAATGGACTCTGTAGGCTGATTTTGTTCCTGTACCAGAGAAAAAAGAAAACCCTGCCAGGAGCTTTTGTTGACTGCGTTATCTCCTTGACAAGCTAATGCCGCTCTCTTGGAAGGGGAGTCTCCCCTGGGCAAGGAGCCAGCACAAGGCCAATGCCCCACACAGCCCACTGCAGATCCCTTTGGTGAGACCGAGCAGGATTAAAGCAATGCACGTTCCTTGTCTGGACCTCTGCCCAAAGCAGGTCCTTCTCAACGTGTCTGCGCGTGCACACTGACTCAGTGAAAGTAAGCAGGACTGGCCTACCATAGGGTAAGGCTAAGGTGCTTTCTTCTTAAGAGTAGGTTAAGACAAAATGGATTATGCCCCCCTTCTACGAAAAGCCTTTGATCTTCTTTCTTGGACTGTTTCTCAGATTAACTCCTCTTCCTTAACACCTTTGCCTGGGAGACGCTTTGATCCCAGAACACCACATCCTCCAAGCTGAGAGGAAGCAGAGGGCTTGGTTACGTGATAGAAATCAAGCCTTGTTCGCTCCTCTATAATGGCAAAAAAGTCCCACTACAGAACTGCTGCAAGACAATATTCAGGCTCTGAGTAGTGCTGTTTCTATTTATATTACATGTTTTGCTTTTTTTTTTTTTTAAATGCAAAGTTTAAACTGGGATAGTGGGACATTCCTTACGTTCTTCATTGCCCGTGGCACTCTAACAGATTTCTTTCCTTCTCCTTCACTATATACTTTTAATTATCCAGCCAAAACTAATAGAAAATATTTCCCATACACATACAAACAAAGGATTGAGGCATATTCCTTCCAGATATAATTTATGATTTAGTTATGATTTTAATTGCATATATCCCAACACAATATCTACAAGAAAGAGAGTGTAATCTTTGTAGTGTTATATTTACAAAAGTACCCTCAACTACCTATATTACTACTTTGCTTCCAATTTGTTCTGGCTCCCACCAGAATCGTGCATAACACTACTAACATTCGTGAGTTACACAGTGATTGATCTGAATGACTGTGCATTACTCAAAGCAACAGATTCTCCAGGACACTGTGCCCCTTTGGGTCTTCTCCGAAATGAAAATCATCAGTGGAAATGCTGTAGCAGAAATACAAGAGTCAGCTGCACACATCCAGGTCCACCTGTTTCCCCAAGAGATGTCTCAACTATTTTATACGTGAACCTGTTACCAAGGAGGAAAAAGAAAATAGATCAGGAGTCATAAGAGAAACCCTCACAACATTACTCATTTCTTGTATTTTACTATATTATACTGAATTCTAATATTTTTTCACATATCATAGCTTGTCTAGGATGTTGCAACTTATTCACCTATACAAAATTGTGAAATCAAGAGTTTCTCATGTTATCTGCACACCACAGAATTACACTAATGGCAACAATTTACTCATGAGACTCATGAATACAAGACCAAATAGTTTCATGCATCTCTAATGCAGTTTTCCCTTTCAGCATGGCCATCTCTCCCAAAGGCCTACAGCTAGAAGAAGGGTTTTATACTGTGACCATCACTAAGATACAGGTGAGCCTGCAAGGTGCTGACCAGCTGATAAAAGGTGGAAGGGAATTTGGTTTTTTGATGTTAAACAGGTGTCCTCAACCACTGCTCAATAAACTAAGCTTTCAGGGGCCACAGTGCAGTTGTCTTACGAAAACACTTCACTTGTAAGTGTTTAGCATATAAAAATATCTTTCCTTTCAGAAGAAATTTTTCTGAAACATGTTTTATCACAATACCTTGGGCATGCAGAATGTATCTCTGTGGACACAGATTAATTTCTCATTCAGTGAAACTTCATATTATCACTGACTTCCTTTGATATTTTGTGCTTTAAACTGGTAGTTAGATATCACCTGTTCAAGGGAGTAGAGCGACTGCAGAACAGGCTGAAATCGGGAGGATTCAGCCATTTGCCAGTAGGAGAAAGTACTCTTGTCTGTGTATGACTATGTCCAATCTGGCTCACAGGCCAGAGAGTATTAATTTCAGCTCAGTTAGTTGAAATAACATGAGGATTTCAGTACAGGACAGTTCTCTGGTAGAGCTAGTCTATCATAACTGGCATAAAGACAAGCTCAGGGCTTGGGATAACAGGACAGAGCCAAGACGTATTGAGTATAACTGAGAAGTTGCAAGGATGACAGAAAGGAAAGGTCTCCAGTCATACTCTATGTATTAGTGAATGCAATGTGAAGAGAGGGACTTTGAGGCTTTTCTTGCAGCTGCCATTACTTTATCAAAGCCAGCGGGCTTGTAATTTTTCAGTAGCGTTTCTAAGAAAGATGCAAAGTATTAGCAACAATCACGTGAATAATGTGGTATTACGCACACAAAAAATAAAAT